CAAGTGGCAGCAACAGATTGGGAAGAAGGATGTGGGAATCACAAATATGGGTGGGGAGTGTGCTCATTGTGGGCAAAGTTGTGGGTTGCCAAAGGGCAGAGATGTCTTCTTTTCTAATTTATCTTTTGTTTGTTCCTTGTTATTTTTCAATAATGCTACATTTTTTCTTTGTAATCAGAACTTGTTCTCTGGACACTGCATTTTAACTCTAGTAAACGCAGTTTCTATCATTCTGTATAAGGCTTCATTATCTTGTGTTATTACTATATAAATGGTTGTGAATTGTGATGAATTAAGTAATTGAGAGAGTGTCATTATGGATTATAAGATTTTGACTGATTTCTTATCATGAGAATAGAAAAGGAAGGAAATTGAGAGTTTGCAACATTCAGTGGAGGGAACTTGTAAAATCTGAAAGGGTAACAACGAACTGGTTCCTTTTTAACAATGTAAAGTTACTCTTCCATTATTATGGGGAAATTGACAACTTCCAAGTTTTTATCTTAAAATAGTCCACCCTCTTTATGTCCAAATTTCTAAACGGCTAGACTTTTTTGCTCAATATTTTGTCAGTCAAGTTTCCATGCACATTAGCAAAATTCAGTGATTTCAACATGATTAATTGTGGCGTTTGATTCAGGTATAAGAAAGCAGTGTGGTGGTTTGAGAAAACATTAGCCTTGATCCCAACCGCTTTATCTGAGATGTGGGAACCGACTATAATCAATCTTGCTCATGCATACAGAAAGTTGAAGTAAGTTGATAAATATCTCAGTAGTCTTCTGACTTGAACTTTTCTTGTCCTCATCTACAGAAAATTTACCATGCAGTTATGTTTTATTTAAGTTGAAACATAGTTTGCCAGAGGATGTTTTATACCCATAATATTTTGTTATTTTCACAATTGCGTTGATTATGTTTTAAATTTTTGTCCTGAATTTTGATGTTTCTGAATTTCCCCAGCCATGAATTTTGATTGAAAGTTGAAATATCAATTTCATGAATTGATAGAAAGTTTAATCTAAATAAGTAGTGCTAATTTGTAAATCATGACTGGTGAAGGACAATATTCTTGATTCTGATCGTCTAAATGAACTGTTTCAGGATGTACCGAGAAGCAATTTTGTATTATGAAAAAGCACTTTCCTTATCAACAAGAAGTGTGAGCACATATGCCGGTCTTGCATATACTTACCACTTGAAGGTATCTTCTTTTGTGTTTTCAAGTATAACATAATGCTTTTGGTAATATGTGCAATGCAAATGTCCTGCTCTTATGTAGTTTTAGCTCTTGCTATATGACTACGCCTAATTTGGATAAGTTTCTAGATAAGTACTTGTAGGAGAAGAAAATGAATATGAAAAATGAATAAAAATTGTTTCATAAGTTAAAAGCAACTTGTTCTCTTTAACTTTTAGAGAAGTCAAAGAAGAAAGTATATTAAATAATAGAGAAGCATAAGTTAATTTTAACTTAGGAGTTTGATTTATTTTATTATTTTTAACTGATAAAGAGTTTGATTTATTTTAATAATTTTTAATTTCTATAAATACTTATTCAGAAGTTTATCTTAAGCCTACGTGTATTTGTGATTTCATTTGGGCAAATAGTCCATGTTGGCTTTTTATCTGAAAAAGCATGTGCTGACGGGGGAATGATCACTCGAGTTTTTGAGATTTTTTACGGGAATTGAGGATGGCTTAAAGATTACTCATAGTACTTAGTTGATGGTTTTTCCTACTAAAATTCTAAATGCATTGACCAATAGAAGTCCTTTAGTTGATGGTTTTTCCAAGTGTACCAACAAAAGCAGAAACGCATTCATTAATGGATATATTTATTGAAAGAAGTTGATACTGGTTTAGAGTAGTGCGTGCGAAAAGAAATAAATTATACTATTTAATGTCAAAGGACGTTTATCTAAACTAAATGCATCTCCTTTTTGGACAAGGCACTCTTGCTCTTTAACGGCTCATACATTCTGAATGTCTCTATTATTACTAGAAAAGTTTTTGTACATCTTTATGTATAAATAAACTTTATTGGACTTTGCTGTCATGTGTAATTCATGCAGGATGACTTCTCTACAGCAATTACATATTATCACAAAGTGAGTAACTGCGATCCAATATTGCTTGTATTATATTCATGATAATGAATCTATGATGCGCGTTTGGTTTTATTTTAGAGCTCTTAAAGCAATTTCTGTCTTGTGTGTATTCATCTTATGCGGTATTTTTTTCTCACTGTACGGTTAGTTTGAACCACTGTTTGCAATATAGTGTCAGGCTGTTAGTGGTGTCAAATTAAATTCAAGTGGACAAGGCTTTCCTAAAGCCAGTCACTTTCCTACTGTGAGCAAAAGGATTTGTCTACCCTTAATTTAGTGGTATCAATCCACTAAATGTAACTGGGTGTACGCCTTTATTTCCTCACTATAATGACAAACTCACTTTAGATGAGTTTTTTTCCCATCATAGAAAGAAGGAGAAATCCTTGGAATATATTTGGTTTGAGAAAATGTTTTATATTTTCATTAGATCAACAATTGTGTTTTATCTAACCAAGTGAGATTGATTTCATGGAATATACAATGTCATTGAACTCTCTCAGAAAATAATTTTTTTGAAATATTGTACATCGTTCAATCTTTTTTAATAATTTCTTCTAAAGTTATTTTGGTTTCTTCCTCTACTCATTTTCACTGGGTTAAATGTCATGCCATCTATTTTCCTCACAAATGCCTCCAGTGAACTTTGGACGTGTCTAAACCATCTTAATTAATTTTTTGTTATCTTTTTCATAATAGGTATTATTTTAATATTTTTGCTTTCACAATAATTTCTTATCTCCTCTTGTGATTACTCATCCATCATAGTATTTTTATTTTTGTCACATTCACTTTTTCTTTTGTGTTGATTCTTTAAGGCTCAATATTCAGTATTATATAACTAGTGGTATAACAATGTAATAAAAAAATTTCTTTCAGCTTGATATACTTTAAAAATCACAATTATTTTTTTTTGTCTTTATCTCCTTTAATTTTGTATTCTAATAAGAAACATTTTTATTAATAATTGTAAAAATATCTAATTTTCATGTTGCTTCAGTACATGGTGTTTTTACTATTTCTTGTATAAATCTCCGCGAATAAGAAATAGTGTTTTAAGTTGATATTTTGTAATCATTAGTGAAAAATGAAACTTCGGCCAAACATATCTCGAGGAGGCACACTATTCAACATTTCACTTGTAAGGTTGTATGGACCATGTTAAAAATGCGCTTATATCTCAAGAAGTTGATAGACATTAATTGTTGAATGGGGGGTGCTTACGTTGGGTAGTGCTAACATAAGAATTTCGCTTCAACTAGTTCATAGTTTGATGAATGTAACCTTTCGAATTATGCCATGTTGACACCAGTGTTAATATTCTTAAAATGACCACCACCTATTAAAGGAATCTCCATGTTCTGATCATTTGTTTGTTTTTTCTTAACATGCATTTGGGGTTTAATAATCATTTTGTTCCTTGTATTAGGCCTTGTGGCTAAAACCCGATGATCTGTTTTGCAATGAGATGTTAAGCTGGGCTCTAATTGATGAAAGCCGAAGTGGCGTTGATCCCAGTCTTGAATTCCGGTGATGTCTGATTTGAATATGGAGGTGCAACTTCATTTACTCCTGTAATATATGTATGTAAACGATACATTAGCTCCAAGTTAATGTATTGCAAATGTGCAATTATTATTATTATTGGCCCTTATATGATTAATGTGTGGCTTTGGTTTAATTTTTACTTAAATTTAGTTTTAATTTTTAATAATTACAATAAAGTCTTCTCACTTTTCCTTTACATTAAACCTTGAAATCCTTGATTTTTTTCGTCAATGGCTGAAGATGAATTTACTGATAAAAATATTTTAAAAGAACAGAGGGTAAACTTGAATAAAATTATAAGGTTTTATGTTAATGTTTAATTATTGTGAGAAATAAGAACATTTAATAATATTTGTTGGATTAAATTTAATCATTCATATTAATTCTTAAAATTAAAAGTTCACATTATGCCGTATTCTCTTTTACTATATATAAAATTCTGTTCAGTGACAATAGTAAACATTTACTCTTTAACCATTTAAGCTTGGAGATAACTCATGATCTCTTACATTTGACCAAGAAAAATTATACAAACTAACATAATTTGATAATTTTTTTATTAAATAATTCCATTTTAAAATATATTATTAGATTAAAAGTTTATTACAAAATATAAATGTACAAATTTAAATTGATCTAAATTTATTTGATTCTCACGTAGAAATTAAAATCAACACAGTATATTCTTTTATGTATAACTTTGTAATAAAATTTTAATTATAAACTAGTTAAATGATGACTTCATTAGCCGTGACAGCATGAATATTGAAAAAATGGTAACAGCGCCGAGTCTAGTATATCAATAATCTAGCTCTATTCTAAAATATTAAATTTTAAAAAGAAATAGAATCATTTAAAAAACTCTGGGATACATTCTTAGGTGAATTTATTAATAAGCAATTTTTTTAATGAAAGATATAAAATGCTTCTCTTTTTTAGTCAACTATAAATGCTTCCTAAATAGTGTTAAGAGAACCCATCAAGTACATAAAGTAAACCCCAGCATCTAACATGAAAAACAGTCATTTTAAAAAAATATTAATCTCAACTCTAAACACTGAATTTAAGAAAATAGAAAAATAAAATTTTATTAAAAAACATTTATTATACTTTTATAAATTTAATAAAATAAATTTGTCGACAATTAGTCATCCACCTAGTGATCGCGTATAAGGATACTTGGTGTAATGCAGCAAGTAATACGTCCTTGACAAAATCTTTTTGGAGAATACTAACTTAACAATGTCACACTAATTACCCCATTCTGTTATTCAAATTTCTCGGTAAATTGTATCTACTAAGAAATGCTTTCAACGTAAAGGACCAAAAATTGCAGTAAGGAGAAAAAAGAAAAATTCCTCTACTGAAAAAATTCAACTATACATGCATACAACTACTAAATACTAAAATGAAAGACAATTAGACAAACGCATAGTTTTATAATCTAAGACTGAGCAAATATTCTAAAGCCAAGAGAAACTGCAACATATTTAATGTTAAATAGACAAATGATGAGAGATAAGGTCATCCAGTCCAGAAGAGCTAAAAGTGGGGATCAGCAAAACCTCAAAGTAGCTTCAAGCTCCTTTTCATCAGCACAATTGTATCCCAGCAAATAAGCTCGTGCTGTTAAAATGGAAGAGAACATCATAATAATGAGATGCATGTGCAAGAACTGATATACTCCCTAAAAAACAGAATGAAAGCCAAAGAGATAAGTTTACCAAAACGGCCAGATCCCATAAATGGTTCTGCCTCATCAGTCACACCGCCTTGCAGCTGCTCCTGAAATTTCGAAAGAATAAGAAACCATTAGGAGAAAAATTATATAGAATGTGCCCGTCAGGCAAAATGCCAAAATCAATTCTTCTTACTGTGACAACCAGTTCCAATGTAAAATCTATAACTAAGGTTAATTGAACATGCATCATAATTAGGTTCCATGGTTCAAAATCAATTCTACCAAACTTTAAAATAATCAAGAGTTTACTTTTTAACTTGATTTTGATAAATTAAATAAGTTCAACTTTGTTAAGGGTCTGTTTGGGAGGGGAGAGGGTTTCTGGAGGCGAAGGGAGGGGAGAGCTTATTTTTTAATTTTATATTAAAAGAATTATATATTATTTAAGATGACAAATATATTATTAATAAATTAAGTTTTTATTATTATATTAATTTATATTTTTTATTTTTAAAAATTATTAATTTTAAATATATTTATTTAAAATATAAAAATAAGTCTTCTCCTCCCTTTCCCTCCAAAAACCCTCTCCCAAACATACCCTAAGATTATAATAGATACCGATCACTTTCATAAGATCAATGTGCATGGATGTGTAATTGTGTATTACAGTATAACAATATAAAAATATATGTTAAAGAATATTTAGACTTACAGCATCAGGCTCCATTTCAGCAGGTGACAGTAATCTATCAAAACAGTGCCCTGATATTGTACAGACCAAAAGCTCGTTTGTTGGATCCATAACTACTTCTCTACATGTATCATCACAGACTAGAAATGAAAATAAAGACAAATATATGCATTAGTCCAGGCCATACCAAAGGATTTAAAAGTTAATATTGAAAAAGATGTCATGTATTCAAAATACATAGAAGCATAGCATAGATGATTTTTCCCACCATGAACTTGTCCAGTCTTCTCACAAATAAAAACATCTCCCATTTGGTAGTAAGAACATGTGTCCCCAGAACAAGCATGATCAGTCACCACTGTATCACTTAGGCCCCTGCTACTTTTCCATGATGACACTTGATCAGCCAATGTCTTGTCAAGAATAATCTTATCATCTTTCAACTTCACATGCAGAAAACAGGGTGGAGAAATAACAAATGGTTAAGTGACGTCCATTTTATAGAGGTATAGAAAATTACGTCAACGAAAAGAGATCAACAATATTAAAAGATACAAATTTATTTCTCAGGGCAGTATTAGCATACTGTTATAAAATCCCAAATCCCTATTAGGATAGATATACTAGGAGCAAAAATAAATAAGCATTACTACATCTACAAAAGCTTCAGCTCTATATCCCTTTCTCTTCCCCACTTCAAGTGAAACCAGGGAACCTAGGGAGCATAAAAAGTCACACAGTACAAGGACTAGAACTGTTTATTTAACTTTGTTTTTTAAATAGCTGAAAATCTAAATAAGTCAGTATATAGTTCCACACTACAATAATTTCTCTCATTACCTGTGAAGGATGAGGCGCTTGACTTCGCTTAGCTGCTTGCATTTGAATGTAATACTCCTTAAACTCATTTTGACAACTTCTAACAAGTTCAACCATGTCCTCTCCATCACGCTGTGTAAATGACAATATCCACACAAAAATTAATAATGCAAGGTTGACTAACTCCAATTTGCTTTCCAAGAGAATAAAGATGAAATAGGCAAACATCTTAAGTAGGTAATTCAGTTAATGCCATAAAAAATGCTCAACCATAAATCACTAATTGATGAATCCGTGCACAAAAAAGAATAATGAAAGACTACTAAGAAAAATAGAAATGCAAAATGTGCAAGCACCTGAATGTATAACTTTTTCCATGGGCATTCCCTTATCTTCCTTGTAGGGGGAAGAAGGCCCCATCGCATACAGTACCTGAACAAAATTTTCCACGACAATTGGCATAAATATGGTTCATACATTTTAATAATTGTACACAACTCGCTAAACAAGGAAATGCAAACAACATGAACTATTCAAGTAGAGGAGAACCTACTCCTCAAAGCCAAGCAGAGAAGAGGAAGAGCATCCACTTTAAATGGCGGAGTTCCGTGTCTCATACCCAGTAGATATGGGACCGGAACTCTGTCAACTAGAATATCAACACTAGCTAATTGACAGGGATCCCAAATAAAAACAATACAACATCCAAATTAGTCCATACAACCTATCTGATGCTAAATCTCTAACAACTGTAAACAACACTCAGAAAGGTAGCGAATTTGACAAAACAATATATACTAGTGTACTTACAAGCGACGCCACAATGCTTCATCAGATGCAGCATAATTAAGAAACCTACAGACCAAGGAACAAGAAATAAGGTCCTGTCCCATCAAAAAACCGTAGTTAGTTAATTCAAATGCCGCTATTAAATAACTTTCCCTTTCAAAATAAAATTTAAAAGAAAAAAAAAAACCCACAAAAGCATGTACAAAGAAGTAACCTCGGAGGAAAGAAACTTCAGGATATGATGAAAAAGCTCAGGTGGAACTTTGCTGAAATGACCAGTCTCAATCCTTCCTGGCACCGCCCCATTATTGACCCCAATGTTCTTCGGCACAGATGATGAACCAGAATTTTGTTCAGCACTCTCAGCCTCCTCTACTCGCTTTCTCTTTGCTTTTGGTTCCTCCACATTTTCCTCTTCCTGGAACAGTAGTCATTCAAATTATATCCAGGAAGAAATAATCTCGAATAAACCAATTACAAACATTTTCTTTCTGAATCCCAAATCAAAACCCTAATCGATGCGAAAAAAATTGAAAATCGTGAATAAACGGAATACCTTATCAGAGACCTCAGAGAGGACTTCTGATTCCAGAAATTGAGCCAGGTTTTCGTCCTCGTCGTCGGAAAAAGTCATGGTATCAGAAAAACAGCAGGAAGGTAAGGGTGCGATTGCAAACAGGAGATCCGTCGAGAGACCGGAGAGGTATTGCAGATTGACCGGCCAATCGGAAAAATGAGAGTAATCCGGTGGCCGGAATTTGAAGGACGGTTGTGGAATCACCACGAAACGGCAAAAGAAGATAGATGATTGATTACTTCGCCGATAGATGCAAAGCAGAATGGACGGTTGAGATTTTCGGGTCGACCCGACCCGTTATACTCAGATATTTTCGGAGGCAAATTCCGAATATCTTTGGAATTGATGCGTATTCTTCAAAGGTGAAAAATAAAATAAAAACGAGTTCTCTGATCTGTTACCCTATGAAGCACGACTACTCAGTTTAATGATTATGTTAAATAAGTTTCCCAAATATATTGTTATTCGAAATTTAAATATATAATGGAAATTATGAATAATTAAATCTTAAAAGTTATTCTAGCTTAATACCCATATTCTATACTATTTTAATATATATTATTGATTTCTTTTCTTATCAATGTTTATACCTTATGCGTTTATATGTATAATTAATTGCTTCTCATAACAATTTTATACAATAATAACGATGACGGTGTAAATATGCTATTAGTAGGTATGCATTTATTTGTATTAATATGTTATTAGTAATTTTAGTTGCGCTATTATGTTTATATGCTAAAAGTTAACTAACACAGTACTAAAAAATAATTATATTCATTATATATTTACAGGGTAGAACTAAATTCAAAATATAATAGCATTGAAATTCTTAAATATTGATTAATGTGAAAAAAAAAATTGTTTAAACGCCACTTAATTTAAAGTAGAAAAAACAATTATTAACTTTTGTGAAATAACAATTATATTATAATTAAAAGAATTTATAGATTTGTTTAGTTAAATTATTTATTAAATATATCTTTATCATATATTTTGTTAACTTATATTGCTTATTTTTCGGTTTAGACCATAAATATTGTTACGAATTTTAAATTTTTAAAAATTATTCCAACCAATAAATAAATATACCATTTACTTATAATAAAATAGAGTGGTTTAGACCTTCTCATTATTGTTCTCACAAATACTATAATTACAAACATATATTATTAATATTTCTTTAATGCAGAGGTATTTGGATTGAAAAATAACTAAAAGAAGTTAAAAATAAAACAAAAAAATATAAATTACAAAGTTAATTTATATGAACGAAATTTTTATTTTATTTTTTTGTTTTTATGATTACTAATTAACTATGTGTTCTTTATTTTAATTTTATTTAAATGTATTAAAAAAATTATCAATCACTTAATTAATTGTTATCGTTATTAAATGACAATCTTCTTATTTATATGTTGTTCTTATTATCATAGAAAAAATAAATAAATAAGAATATTAAAAAAATTATATTTATTAATCTTAATTAATTTATTAGAATTTTAGGTAATAAATGGATAGTTTTAACTTCTAAATTTAAATTACCTTTTAATTTCATTATTTTGTTAATGGCAGGATAAAAATATATACAAGCATGATCAATAAATAATATTAATATCATAAAATCAAAATTTATATTACAATAATATTCACACATTAACTCCATAACAAGAGGTATTTAGTTATACATTATTATAAATATGAAAATAAAAATAATTAAATATAAAACATCAATAATAATAAATAACAAGAAAAAAAAAGTTTTTTGACTAATTCTATTCTAACAAAAGTATAATTTTGTAATAAAAAAATATATAAAAAAGGATCAATCAAGTATATAGTGTCAAGTGTGTAAGACTTTTTTATATATATAATGGATAATTCAAGAAGATAATAATTTGATCTCTAACAAAATATGACTTGCTTTAAAAAAATGATTTATCTAAAAAAATAATTTTTCTATTGTCAAATTAAGAATTCAGATACAAATTTATATTTTAAAATTTAGATTAAAAATTCATTTACTTTTTACTCATTTCAACATTTTTTTATGATTTTATCTTTTTATAATTAAGATGTGTTGTTACTCTATCTTGAGATAAAATTAAGAGAAATTTAATCAATTTAAAAAATAAAATAATAATTTCAATGAAAAAAATATTAAAATTACATAAATAAAGTGACATGATAATTTTAGCACCTAATCCTCCATTGGAAACATGATTGATTGATTTAAGTAAGACTACTGTATATAGCAAAATTTTCTATTAAAGTATTTAATACAATTATATTTATTAAAATTTAAATTTGACACTACAAGTTGGAATAATTCATTACCATTGATACACATGCTCAATAGTTAGTCTCTAATATTAACAACCATCCATCAATTTAGTTATTATCATTTTAAAATATTAAAAATAAAGAATGAAGTCATGATTATTACAAAGATAAAAATTTATTATGAAAATAAAATGATACTATTTTATTAATTTTTATAATTACTTAATTTCATTCTTAACTTTTGATATTTTCAAGTAGCCTTTTTTTTTTCTTTAATATGTTTTATCTTTTTTATGCCGTCTTTTTCCTTCAAATTACAATAATAGTATTGTTTAACTTTTAACAGTTTTACCAAATATCTCACCCCAAGATTCTTTCTTCTTCGTTTATCTTCACCTTTCTCTCCCATTTTCACTTTATCCACCACCCAAAAGTCTCTTATGACAATGTTGCAAAATGGAGTTTCACATATCGAGAGGAGGGGCAAGATCTTGAAACCCTGTACATGGCCATCTATGGCATATTATGAAAGTAACGAGGATATTGTGTGGGGTCCCTTCGGTTGTTGGATATCACTCATGATTGCTAGTTGCCACTCTTCAATCTAATGTAACAACAATTATAATGGAAGATTGTGCTTCTTACAAATGTCCCTAACCAAAGGCGCAATCTTCCTAATATGTTAGTCCCCCTGGACAACTGCGGAAACAGATGGTACTTCACTTGAAATTGCAACCCACCATGAAACCAATACATCCAAGTAGAACACTTTGACATCAAGAGTCCCGTTAGTTTGCATCTCAAACCAATCACCCCGACTTGGTAGACTCAAATACACATTAGAAGAAAAATAGTTCAAACAAAACTAAACATGCTAAATTCCAGCAACAGAAAAACTGTTGAGCTCAAATGCGGAAAAACTTGGACGTGTAAATTAAAATTTTGACGTAAACTGGCGAGCAATAATTCAGATCTAATAAATAGATCTAGCAGCGCAGCGGTGTAACTTGTAAAGTGTGCACTGGAATACTTCCCAAAAAAGAGAGGTGGATCACAATAGATCACTTAAATATCAAGTCTTTCCTTAGCCAGCACCTTTCCATTTACTAATAAAAAAAAAAACTCTTCTCCAGCAATCCAACAATCAGTCACAGAAGGATAACAGAAATAATTCTTTTCTGATGTGGAAGATCAGACTAAACTGCAACCACAGAGCATACTAAGAATTATTCTAACTGAATAAAATAAGCAGAGAAAAACCTCCAATGTGGAAGAAAAAACCACGGGACAAACTCCAAAACATATTTCACTATATCTCGGGATATTTACAATATCCTTTCAACACTTTATCACACAAGAGATGTAAAATATAGTGTACCCAATGAGACCCACTCCTATTCAAATATTACAAATTTTGTAATACCAAGAAGAAATAGAGATGATACCCACCCAGTATATTTTTCACACTCTTTAGGATTTACTCAACACTCTATTTTTCTCTCACAAGAATTCTATCAATGCTTGATAAACACTCTTGTGATGCACACACTTAATTTCATTCCTCACGGCTATTTATAGCCAAATGAAGTTACTATTAACTTATTAAAATATTATTTATTTGTTTAGGGAGTCAAAAAAAAATGGCACTGAAAATGTGCTGGACATCACAATTCTACCCCTCCAGCACAAAGGTGCACTCTTGGAATCTTTACATGCGATCCATGCCAATCAGCTTGGCACATTGTTTATGTTTTTCTCGTGCAACAACTTTCGTCATCATATCAGCAGAATTTTTATCCGTGTGAATCTTATCTAGCTTGAACTCTTGTTCTTCCACTGCCTGACGCAGCCAATGATATCTGACATCAATGTGCTTCGTGCGAGAGTGATACATCGCATTCTTACTTAAATCCAATGCGCTTTGGCTATCGCAATGGATAACGTACCTTTTCTGCTCAATTCCCAGTTGTTGAAGAAACCTCTTCAACCAAAGCATTTCCTTTCCTGCTTCAGTCATGGCAATATACTCAGCTTCAATAGTTGATAAGGCCACACATTTCTACAATTTGGATTGCCAAGATATAGCTCCCCCTGCAAAGGTAAACACAAGTCCTGAAGTAGATTTTCTACTATCCAGGTCACCTGTCATATCTGCATCTGTGTATCCTTCAAGAACTGGGTTAGGTATTCCAAAGCTCAAGCACATATTAGAACTACCTTTCAGATATCTCAAGATCCACTTCACTGCTTCCCAATGCTCTTTTCCAGGATTGGAAAGATACCTGCTAACAACTCCGACCGCATGAGCTATATCTGGCCTCGTACAAACCATGACATACATCAAACTCCCGACTGGTGAGGAGTATGGAATACCCGCCATAGCTTCTTTTTCTTCTTGACTTGTAGGACAACTTCTTTTGCTGAGTTTGAAGTGATTGGCCAATGGTGTACTAACTGGTTTAGCCGTCTTCATGTTGAATCTGTCCGGAATCCGATTCACATACCGTTCCTGCGATAACCACAACCTCCTAGATTTTCGGTCTCGCATGATCTGCATGCCCAAAATCTGTTTTGCAGGGCCCAGATCTTTCATATAAAAAAACTTTGACAATTCCTTCTTCAAATCACCAATCAGCTTCGCATCCTGTCCCACTATCAACATATCATCTACATACAACAGAAGAATAATGAATTTATCACCTGGAAATGTCTTGACAAATACACAATGATCTGCATCAGTCTTGGCATATCGATGACTCGCCATAAACGAGTCAAATTTCTTATACCACTGTCTTGGAGCCTGTTTCAATCCATACAAGCTCTTCTTCAATCTGCAAACCATATGCTCCTTTCCAGTCTCCTCAAAACCTTTTGGTTGCTCCATGTAGATTTCTTCATCAAGGTCTCCATGAAGAAACGCAGTCTTCACATCTAGCTGTTCAAGCTCCAGATCCAAGCTAGCCACCAATCCGAGTATAACTCGAATAGAGCTCATCTTCACAACTGGAGAGAAGATTTTATCAAAATCTATTCCTCGCTTTTGTCCA